CGGCTTTCTTTCTGCTTGTGTCTCTGTGCCTTACTGAGGAAGAAGTGTGTGAAGAAGTATGTGAAGTTTGTTCATCGTGTGTGAAGAAGATGCTTATGTGTCCCTAGCAGCCGTATAAGATTTGGGCTTCTTCTGGAACATGAAACTGTTGACTTTGAGTTTCCTCAGAAAACATAGTGCTGGCCTTGGACTTCCTATCCTGAAACTCCAATTCTTATTTCCTACCCTCATGCATGGAAAAGTGCTAGAATCTCCATAGGATCTGCAAGACCTCTATAGAATCTCCATGGGACCTCCATAGGATCTCCACAGGACTTTCATAGGACCTCCACAGGTTCTCCTAGGACCTCCACAGGACCTCCATAGACTCTCAATAGGACCTCCATGGGACCTCCATAGGATCTTCATAGGACTTTCATAGGACCTCCATAGGTTCTCCATAGGACCTCCACAGGACCTCCATAGAATCTCAATAGGACCTCCACAGGACCTCCATAGAATCTCCATAAGACCTATCCACAGGACCTCCACAGAATCTCAATAGGACCTCTATGGGACCTCCATAGGATTTTAATAGGACCTCCATAGGTTCTCCATAGGACCTCCACAGGACCTCCATAGGTTCTCCATAGGACCTCCATGGGACCTTCCTAGAATCTCAATAGGATTTCCACAGGACCTCCACAGAATCTCAACAGGACCTCCATAGGATCTCCATAGGGCTTTCATAGGACCTCCATAGTTCTCCATAGGACCTCCACAGGACCTCCATAGGATTTCCATAAGACATCCACAGGACCTCCATAGGTTCTCTTCACAGGGCCTCCATAGGACCTCCACAGGACCTCCATGGGATCTTCATAGGATATCCATAGGTTCTTCATAAGATCTCCATAGAGTTGTTGTCACATGATCTGCCACTGCAGGGACCAGCCAGCGTCCCCTACACCCTGAAATGCTGGAAAGGACCGCTTGGTGATAGTGGTTATGGATTTCCTACAGGAGGATGTGTGAAACCACGTTCCTGGGCAACTCTGCAGAGTTCCAATCTCAATTCAAATCCTCCAGGGGCCAGGCTGGAGTGGGTGTCTGGTGTGTCGCTGTGCCTCATTGCACAGAATGGGGGCTTCTGCAGTGTTAATGGGAAACCTTCCCAGAGATAGAGGCAGGGATTGGAGTTATGCTGCCACAATCCATGAAATATTAAGCTGAGGAAACTGGCTAAGCTTGGACTGTAGTGTTGGACAGGAGACAATGATAAGAAGCGCTCTGGGATAGAATGGTGTGGATTTGTTCATCGTGTGTGAAGAGGAAGATGCTGAGGAAATGAAAGCTCTTCCATTCTGTGACTTGGTTGACAAGAGGAACCAACAGGGCCATCACAGGAGCAATAACCCCATCGGGGAAGGAGACGGAAGGAGGTGTGTTTAAGACACTTAACTGAGTCAGAGAGAGAAGCAGAACCTTCCAGTACCTGGAAAGTGTGGTTTGTTTCTCCCAAACTTCCTCCTTCTGACTTCTTTATTTCTCTACGTGGCAGCACCTTCTCTTCATTTCTCCATCAAAACCTCCGAGCTGTTTAGAGTTCCTCATATATTCTGATGATCAAACCCTTGTTAGAGGAATAGGTAACGAATGTTTCTCCCTGCTTCTGTAGGTCATGACACTGTTGGTTGTTTCCTGAGCTCTGCAGAAGCTTTTTAGTTTGATAAACCCATTTGTCTACTTTTGCTTTTGTTTCCTATGCTTTTAAGGTTTTATTGATAGAATGTTTGCTTGAAGCGTTTCCTCTGTGTTTTCTTCTACAGTTTCATAGTTTCAGGTCTTACTTTAGGTCTTATTCCGTCTGGAGTAGATTTTGTATGTCGTGAGAGATAGAGGTTGAGTTTTGTTTTTCTGCATGTGGATATCCAGTTATGCCAGAAGCATTTATTGAATAGACTGTCCTTTCCCCAGTATATGTTCTTGGCATGTTTGTTGATAATTAGTTGGCTGTCAATTTCTGGATTTATTTCTAGGTTCTTTGCTCTATTCCATTGTCAGTGTGTTTGTTTTTAAGCCAGTGCCTTGCTGTTTTGGTTGCTGTAGCTTTGTAGTGTATTTTGAAGTCAGGTAGTGTGATGTCTCCAACTTTGTTCTTTTTTTCTCTAAATTGTGTTGGCTATTTTGGGTATTTTATGGCTCTATATGAATTGTAGAATTTTTTAATATTTTGGTGAAGAATGACACTGGGATGTTCACAGGAATTACAATGAATCTGTAGATTGCTCTGGGTACTATGGTCCTTTTAATAAATATTTATTCTTTGAATGTATGAACAGGAGGTATCTTTCCAGTTTTTTCCTGTCTTTAATTTTTTTTTTTATCAAAGCTTTATAATTTTGTTTGTAGAGGTTTTTACCTTGTCGGTTAAATTTATTAGTATGTCTTTCAATGCTTGTGGCTGTTATAAATGGGATTTAATTCATGAGTTCTTTTTCACCCAGTTCTGTTCTTCAGGGTCAAGCATCGTGTAAGTTCCCATTTAGGAATGGAATCCGGAATGAGCAGCAGCTGCACACAAATGCCTTTCTCTGATTTCCACTTCAGAGGAGTCCAGGAGGTGACAAGGCACATGGAGCATTGTCACATTTGGAACCAGTCTGTTGATCCTAAACCACCTGTGGGACCTCCTGATCCGCTGTGTGATCCCCGTAAACCACCACCTGATTGGGTTGAAACTCATCTCTGAAATAACCCCAAGGCCATGTTGGTGTCCTCCGTCCCAGTTCAGGTGGTTTCAACATAATGAGATCAGAAAGTTATATGGCCACTTAAAAATGTCAATTGCATGTTATGTAGTACTGCGCAAGGGGTTTCCTCTTCTGAGGCCCGTTCTTACCTGGGTAGTGGCTCATTGTCTGCCTGGACTCAGGTGAGGCTCATCAGGCAGGTTGGGGTCATGTTGTGAATGAAACACAAAAGTTAACCTGTGAGATCATTGGTCTGACAGATCAAGAGCCACCTTGTTTACCATTTAGTGGCCAGGGCAGCCTGTGGTTTTCACCACCATACTGCAATCTCAGCTCCCTAAATGGCCTGACAAATAAAGATAGATAGGTAAGAAAACAGAGATATGCCATTCCCCGGTTAAATCTCTAAGACAAAAATTAACAGATGCTCTCAAGGATGTGGAGAGAAGAAACCCTTGTACCTTGGTGGGAACGTAAGTTGGTGCAGTCAATATGGAAACAGTATGGAGGTTCCTCAAGAAACTGAAAGTAGAACCACCACACCATCCAGTAATGGCACAGTTGGGTATATTTCTAAAAGAAAGAAAATCAGTATAGCAAAGAGGCATCTGTATCACCATGTTTATTGCTGCAGTATTCACAATAACCAAGATACGGAATCAACCCATGTCCATCAATGAATGAATGGATAAGGAACATGTGGTCTATATACACCATGAAATAATATTCAGCCAAAAAAAGAAGGAAATTGTACCATGTTCAGCAACACAGATGAATCTGGAGGACATTATGTTCGTGACATAAGCCAGGCCCAGAAAGAGGAACATTGCATGTTCTCACTCATGCGGGAGCTACAAAACTAGGCCTCGTGATGGCAGAGAGTAGAATGGTGGTCAACAGAGGGCTGGCAAGGAGTGTGGAGGAGGGGGATGGAGAGAGGTTGGTGGATGGGTGCATAAATACAGGTGGAGAGGAGGAGTAAGTTCCAGGGCCTGAGAGCTCAGTAGGATGACCATAGTCAGCAACAAATTATTGTATATTCCACATGAGCTAGAAGTGAAGATTTGAAATGCTCTCAACACAGAAATTATAAATGTTTGCCAGGCACAGTGGCTCACACCTGTAATCCCAGCACCTTGGGAGGCCTAGACGGGCGGATCACCTAAGGTCAGTATTTCCAGACCAGCCTGGGCAACATGGTGAAACCCCATCTCCAATAAAAATACAAGAATTAGCCAGGCATTTTGGTGCACGCCTGTAATCCTAGCTACGCGGGAGGCTGAGAGAGGAGAACTGCTTGAACCTGGGAGACATAGGTTGCATTGAGCCAAGATCACGCCCCTGCACTCCAGCCTGGGCGACAGTGAAAGACTTGGTCTGAAAAAAACAAATATGTGTATATAAATGTTTGGGGTGATGGATGTCCTGGGAACCTTTATTGGATCATTACACATTGCATGCATGAATCAGATTACCACATGCTCCCAAGAAATATGTATGATTATTCTCTATCAAATTAAAAATGTGCTATAGACCAATAATTTGAAGTGGATTGTAGGTCACCAAATGAAAGTCAGCGTTCCAGTGCCTGTGTCCAGCGGCCCTTGTGGTTTCCATGTTGAACAGATCCTTCCAGTATTTCCTGATGTGTAACCACTATTTTGGATTACATAGAGTTATCTACTTCCTTTATTTATGGGGTCTATTTTGAGTTTGCCTCCCTATAAAATAAATGTTGCCTCCTTTTGAGCTTCATGTGCTGAAATAGCCGTGCACGGCTTCTTTTTATACTCTTGTTTCTTTACTCAACCTCATGATCGAAGGTTGGTTTGTGTTGCTCTTTGTAGATTTCGTCTGTGCCTTTGCATGTGCTCCTAGTATCCCATGGTGGAATTGAACCACACTTGTTTCTTTTGTTTTAGATGTATTTTTGGGCTTTATGGCTGGTGTCTAATACGAGCACCAGTCATGTCCATGTTGTTGTGAATGAAACCTCACCATACGAACACATTTTCCTCTAGGTTCTGTACTTTTATGTTTATAGCTGTGCGTCTCTTTTTAGTTAGGTACTTCTGATATTCTCCCCAAATTGAAGTAATTTGCAGTCCTACTACGGATGTATTGGATTTCTAAGTCAGCCCTACTACCTATGACTTTGATGTTGTCATTTTCGTCATGCGAAATGAATACCTCAACATTGATCCCTCTCTTCGGGAATGATTGGCAGATAGTCCAGAAAGCACAGGCTGTAGATTTTCTTGCAGAACCTCCTGGGATCATCACATCTGTCCCCGAGGTTCCACCACTCCGAAGGGTGCACTGTCCTCTCCGCTGTTCACCTCCCGGCTGCCTCTTGGGGACTTCTCCGGCTGCGCAGAGCCTCAAATAACAGAATCCCGAGGACCACCAGGATCAAGCCAGCCATGCCCATGCGGATGAGATTCTCCACGGTGTAATCCTGGGGATGTGAGGCTGGGGATCATGGACAAAGAGGCGACAGAGGTCAGGGCAGATCAGCATCACCCAGGACCCCTGGATGCCCACCCAGCGCACGCCCCCCATCTCCTGTTGACAGACCCTGACCCTCTGTGCCAGTCCCATAACTGAGAGCATCTCCTCACTCATCAGTCTTGGGGTCTGACTTGTTTTGTGATGGGCTAAGGGTCTCAGCTCCTCCTGAGAATGAAAACAGAGGGGGAGAGCCCTGAGCCAGCCTCTCCCCTGGGCTCTGCGTTCTTACTCTTCCAGGCCTGATGATGTGGCTTTTACAGAGTTCCTCAATAAATCCTCCCTCTCCTGGAGCAGGGTTCCCTCCAGTCTCCTCATGGAACTAGTTCAGTTTTCCCGTGTTCTATGAATTTAAACATTGCTCCTGAGTCATATGGGGGAGAGTTTTCCTACAGCCTGACAGTCAGGATTTGCAACGAAAGTGGTCCCCAGTACAGAGGTCACTGAGCCCTGTGTGCTGTCTGTGCAGCCTGGGACACAGGAGCATATAAGCCGATTCCCCCCGAGATGAGAGTTTCACAGATCCATCAGTGGAGGACCCAGGTTGCGTGGATGAAGGGTTGGTCCTCAGGAGCTCCTGAATGTCAGGAGCACAAAGTAGTGACAGTCTGGGGCTGCATCCTTTTCACTCCAGCTCAGCCACTACCCCTGAGGTTTCACCTTCCATTTAATCTCTAGGTAGCTAATTATTCATGTAGGCAGCAAAAGGTAGAATGTGATACACAAAAAAACACAAACACAAATAGAAATCTATTTTATATATATGGTGGGCCATAAAAGCTCTCTCTGCTTTCTGAACAAACATCTGAAACCACAATAGTGGAAATTTACCAGTCACAGGGATAGTTTTAGATGTATGGGTAGAGATCTATATTTATGTGTGAGTATATATTATCTGTATACATATACAGATAACTAGGTTTTAATGTCACATAAGATGTCGGTGTGACACATGTGTATGTGCAGAGACGGTGAAAGAGAGAGGGAATTAAGCTGCATGGTGTAGGTTGATTACTTGACGTAGATGAGAAGCAGGCAGGTCTGGGCTGAGCTGTGTCATCAGTGAAGGTCACACTTGGAGGTGACACTGAAGCTGATTCCTCAGTAGGAAAAAGAGCCAGGAAGGAGGCGTGTGGAGACCCAGACAGGGAGCATCAGAGGCTCCAGAAAGCAGGTCCCAGCAAGGTCTCAGCCTGTTCTTCAGAGAGGAATGACCGCTTGTCTGTGGGGTGGAGGGGAAGGCAGAGGAGGAGGGGAGCTGAGCTTTGGGGCTTTGGTGGATTGAGACTAGGCCAGGATGAACTGCCCAGGAAAGGGCGGCCCCAGCATGTCTTTGTCTCTCCCTCCCTCTGAGATCTGGAAAGTGCTGTCGGGTTTCAGGGAGTAGTGCCAGTCACTTGACTTTTTCTTAAAAGATAAGCCCTACCCCCTCCATAGCAAACGTCCAGAACAAAGGAAGTCCACATTTCTACCTGAGGTTTACCAAACCTAGGGAGTGCGTAAGATCAGGGCTGTTACAAAACTGGGTGAGAATGAAAAACAGGCGATGCTGCAAATCTACTTTCGCCAGCTTGCACAAAAAGGCCAGTATGAGATTAAAAACCCAAATAAAAAATGTGGTCAGTGGAGCAGAAGAGGAGCCGTGCACAGTCCCTGAGCTGCTGCGGGAGCAGGTGCGGGTCCCTGTGAGGCTCAGGTGTGCGCTGAGTGCCGGGGAGCTGCCAGGGGAGACAAGGTGAGGGTCAGGTGGCACCTGAATTCTTCTCCCTCCAGGAGGGCGTCTGCTGGGGGTTGGGACCCAAAGCTCTGATTCTGAGGTGGAGACATGAGGAGGGGCGCGGGTGGGGCCTCCGTCTTCCACCTTCAGTCTAATCTCATCTCCTCCAAGGTTCACCCCTGTGTCCTCCCAGCCCTCCCTGCTCTTTACCCTACTGGGACTTCAGGTGTGGGAGCCAGGGGTGGGAGGTCCCCGTCTATTTCCACCCTCCCATGGGCTGGATTCTCCCCCTTCATTCTCCTGTTTTCTAGTGTCCCAGAGCTCTCCTGGGTGCAGAGCCTGAGCTGAGCCTTTGAGCTCAGAGAAGACAGGGTCAGGGCCCTCACCTGAGACCACGAGCTCCAGGAGGTCACTCGCCTGACCCTGAGGGGTTGAGGGGCTGGTCCTCAGGACCTCTGGGGTCAGGACAGGGAGGTGAGGGCTGAGGCTGCCTTGCTCCCCACATGAACCCAGCTGCTTTTCCCCTAGGCTGGGCCCCAACACCTCCCTCTGCCTTGAACCCCCCACTCCTCACCAGCCCAGCCTCAGAGTCCCTGGGACACAAGCCTGTCCTTGAGGGGAGGGGAATGGGAATCTTTAGGAGACTCAGACTGCCCTGGGGGAGGCCGTGCTCCCCAAGAGGCCTCAGTGACTCACCAGGGGTGGATGGTGGCCCTGTGGGTGGGGGGCTGGAGCCCCCAGAGGGTCCTGCAAGGAGCACAGGAGGCCGGTGAGGGGCTGGGGCCGTCCATGGAGTGCACCCTTCCACTCCCACTCTCCTCATCCGCCCAGTGGATCCCCGGGAACCATTCCTCTGCCCACCTGGTACCTTCTGCATGCCAGGCAAGGAGAACGGGTGGCCATGCCTAGGAGAAGCTCTGTTGGCCTCCTCCCCTCTGAGGGCTGCGTCCCCTCTGGCTAAGCCTCCCTCACTCCATCCCAGCTGAGATCTCCCGGGGCCTGGGCCTGAGCTGAGCCTTTGAGCTCAGAGGGGACAGGATCAGGGCCCTCACCTGAGACCACGAGCTCCAGGGGGTCACTGGGGTAAGACAGCAGGTAGGGGTTGGAGCTGAGTGAGCTGTAGCACCTGTAGGTCCCCGCGTGGGCTGAGGTCACAGGACCCATGGGGAATTCAGCCTGGTGCTGCTGAGCTCGGTGCTTTGATCTCAGATGCAGCGGGGGATGGGCTGCCCCCTCCTTGGTCAGAAGGAAAGTGTGGAACTGCGCCCGTGACTGACACAGCAGGGTCACGTTCTCTCCTGAAGCCACCGTGGGACCCGGCTGCACCGAGAGGGAGACCGTGTCATAGAACTGTCCTGGAGAGAAGACGGATGGGTGAGGGGCTCCCACCTTGATCTGAGCTGACACCTCCCCAGGCCTCTCTCTGGGGCCCTCAGTCTCTCTGTCTCTGTTTTCTCTGAGTCTCCCCCTCCCCCCATCCCCTGTCTCTGTCTCTCCCTCCATTGGTGCCCCCACCCCTCATCCCGGCCATCAACACCTGGGTTCCCCTGGCAGGGCCTGTGCAGAGCCTGGGTCCCTGACTGAACCCGCTGGGCTCCTCACTTGAGATCAGGATGTCCAGGGGGTCACTGGGGGCCGACCACTCGGAGGAGAGGTTGTGTGCACCGTAGCATCTGTACTGGCCCCCGTGGGAGCCCCTCACAGGGCTCAGGGTGAAGTTGGCCTGGGAGAGCCCAGCCTGGTGCTGCCGGCCAGGGCGCTGGAGGAAGTCATGTTCCCCCTCCTTGTACAGAGCAAATCTGTCGTAGCCGGCATCAGAGCCACACTGGAGGGTCAGGTCTCTCCAGGGACCACGATGGGGCCCTGCAGGGTCAGGAGGGAGGGCTTCCTAGACACGCCTGGAGGGAAAGAGGAGTTGGGACTTGGAGGGCTGGTTCCTCCCACGCCCCTTCCTTCTCCTGTCCTGGCCCTGCAGGTCTCACTGTCTCTCACACTCTGAGTCTCTGACCCCAGGGCCTCCTTCTCACCTTGGAGTCATTTCCGAGGAGTGGGGTCTCCCTAGCCCTGGCCCCTGTGCCTGATCCTTCCTCCTCTCCCTGAGAGCCGGGACCTCACAGCAAACACACCGGTGCCTTCCGGAGTCCTCCCCTTCCAGGTGAGGGTGGCCGAGGCCGCCTCCTCCCATGTCAGAGCCTCCCCATGGGGTCTCCCTCCCGCCTGCAGCCCGTCCATCCACACATCACTCTAGGTCCTTTCCAGATTCAGTCACCAGCCAGACTCCCCAAAGCCTGTCAGCTGCCCCGAAAGTGGATTAGAGAAGGCCGTGGTCCCTCACCTGAGGCCAGAAGCTCCAGGGGGTCACTGGGGTGGGACCACACCTGGGGGGTGTTCCTATAATAGTAATAGCATCTGAACGTCCACCTGTGGCTGGGGGTCACGGGGCCCACAGGGAACAGGGCCTGGTACCACCCACTGTGCAGCTGCTGTGAGTCCAGGGTCCGGGGGAGCCTGTGTTCTCCTTCCTCAATCAGAACAAAATGCTGATATCCCTGCTGTGAGCCACATTGGAGGGTCACGTTCCCTCCTGAGGCCACCACAGGGCTGGGCAGGGCTGAGAGGGTGGGTTTGCTGTAGGCTCCTAGGAGAGAAGGAGGCACCGTGTTTAATGGGCTCCCACCTCCCACATCATCCCCAGGGCTGGGCTGTGAGAGGGATACGCCCCTGAGAGCCGACCCCCTTCCTGAGGGCAGAGCCTGGGGCTGGGACCCCTGAGTGTCCTCTCACCTGTCACCACCAGCTCCAGGGGGTCGCTGAGCTCTGACCGGCCTGCATGGCTGAGATAGTAACAGCGAAATCTCCCTGCATGGCGCTCTGTCATGAATGGGGTGGAGAATCTGGCCTTGTTCCTGGGCTCCAGTGGTTTCTGTGTGTCCCAGGGCTCTGTGCTTCCCTCTTTATCCAGACGGTACTCCTGGGCCTCCAGGGTCCCCCGACACCAGATGGTCATGGGGCTCCCCCAGATGATCACAGAGCCAGGCTCAGCCCAGAGGGTGGGTTTGGGGAGGGTCCCTAGAAGGAAATCAGAGGCTGGATTCCAAGACATCCCCACACTCAGATCCCAGCTCCCAGCCCCAGGAACCCCCGTCATTGCCATCAGTCACCCAGAACTGCAGTCTCTTCCCCCAGCTGCCCATGGGTGGCCCCTGTCCTTAGTGAGGAGGAGGGACCTGGGACAGCTGGGGACACACTCACCTGCCTGCACGTGGGTCCTGGTGTCCAGACTCAGCCCTGGAAGAGAGTTCCCTGTGAGGGATTTGCCCCTGAAGCCTGAGCAGACCCTCCTCACCCTGGTGCCTCCCGAGCTTTTGAGGTCTCCTGATGGACCAGGGCTTGTGTGTGGGGTGGGGTCCCTCCAAGACTCGGATCTCCCCTTCCCCATCTTGAAATCTCACCGAGGCAGAGCAGGGCTGTGAGGGCGGGGGTCATGGTGTCTCCTCCCAGTGACCCCGGGCTCTGCAGATGGATGAACCCTCGGTGCTGGCAGGACAGAGACACACACAGGGTGTGGCCGCTCGGAGGCTGGGTCCTTCTTGTCATGGGATTGTCTCATCCTCAGCCCACAGGAAGGGGAACTGCCCTCCCCAGGAGCCTGGCTCTCATTTCCCCAGGGCTGAGGTGGGGGCAGGCACCAGGCTCTCTGCAGACATTTCATATAGAAATGGGGTCTCCCTGTCCCTGGGTCACTGTCTGCCTGATTTATCTTTATCTCACTGAGGGCCGGAACACAACAGCAAATAGACCTGGTGCCTTCCTGAGTAAGCCCCTTTCAGGCGAGGGCGACCGTGGGCTCCTCTTCCCTCTCAGAGCCTCTCCATGGGGTCTCCCTCCCTCCTTCAGCCCGTCCATCTGCTCAGCGTTGTGGGGTCCTTACCATGGCAGTCGTCTCTCCAGCCCTGGAGATGCTTCAGGGAAGATGCAGGTCCATGCTGCAGGCAGACCCAGGTCAGCAGAGACGCACCTGACACCGGGCTGTGCAGCCCAGGCTGAGCTGTGAGTGGCAGTGAGAACACAGGAGAAATGCAGGGTCTACCGTGGTGGCTCACGCCTGGAATCCCAGCACTTCAGGAGGCTGAGGCGGGTGATGGCTTGAGGCCAGGAGCTTCAGACAGTCCTGGACAACATACTGTGATCCTGTCTCTACAGAAAAGAAAAAAGTGAGCTGGGCATGGAGGCTCATGACTGTGGTCCCTGCTACTCGGGAGGCTGAGGTGGGAGGATCACTTGGGCCTGGGAGGCGGAGGCTGCAGGGAGCTGTGATCACCCCTCGGCATTCCAGCCTGGGCGACAGAGCAAGATCCTGTCTGAAAAGGAGAAATGCAGGGAATATAGAGAATAAAACATATATATATATATAATATATATATACACATATATATACTATATATACAATGTATATATAGCATATATAATTATATATAGTATATATATTATATATATATATACAGTCCTTGGAGTGTATGTTTCCTTCTTACCAAACAGTCCCTCTCTTGTACTTTCCCTTTTTTCCTTGTTGCAGCATCACCCACCCCCCTGGGAACGAGGCTCTGAGTCGGTCCTGCCTCCTCAGTGCCCCTTGTGTCCTTGGCCGTCCTTCGGCGCCTCCATCCATGTTCAGGATTTTCAGAACAGTTTGTTAGGTCTGTAATCTGCTTCCGGGGGAGGGGAGCTGATTTGTGTTTAATTCCTGATTATCATCCAGGGTTTATGTGACCTTGGACATTAATGTCACCTCTGAGCCTGTTGTCATGAACCCCACTGATCACAGTGGCTGTGGGGTCAGTGGTGCCCAGGACACGGGAGGCTCAGCCGTGGTGCATTTCCAGACCAGTTCAGACCGGAGGGTGGGACGGGAGAGGATCCTGGTCTTGGGTTCCACAGTCGAGGAGGATGATTGACGCCTCCACTCAAGAGCCGACATTGGCTCCAAATACCAAGAAATGCTCCTTGTGACACGTCTGAAATATGCAGATCACCACAGCCACAGGCACAGAAAGAGAAAGAAAAGTTCCCAACATTGAGATGCGTCCCCTGCAATGAACAGAGTTCAAAGCTGAGTGGCCACAGGTGTCTGGGACCACCCAGGGTCATTAGGGAGGAGGAGGTTCCCACCTCTGTGTGGGACAGAAGAGGAACCCTGGGTCCTCCCAGGCAGGGAGGGGTCAGGGCTCTGGGTGGGGCTGGAAGCTGTGGCTCCCCCTCCCCTGTGTGTGTGGACAGGCGCTGGGGGGTCTCTGCTCACTCACTGGAGTCCACGCTCAGCTCTCAGCCCCTCCCCTGTGTGTGAGAAACAGATTCAGTCCACGGTGCTCAGATGTGGGCGTCTGCCCCACAGGTGAGTGTGAGGCTGGCGTTGGTCCCATCCCTGCCGGGCACAGTCTTGAGCTGAGGCTAAGTTTGGGAGAGTGGGGCAGGAGCAGCGGCATCGATTCCCTTCATCAGGCTGATGCCTGGACAGCCCTGGGAGAAACCCTTTATGAAAGGCCAGGTGCGTGGGAGAGCCGCCCCACAGGAATGACAACCATATGAGGAAAATATAGGCAGCTGGTGAAATGCATTAGACAGACATTGTGAAGCTGAAAAATAGCAAATTGAATTAATACCATTGAAAAGTAATTTAATAAATATATACACCTACTATGTAGTCATAAAGTGAAAAATCTGACCAGGCGTGGTAGCTCATGCCTGTAATCCCAGCACTTTGGGAGGCCAAGGTGGGTGGATCACCTGAGGTCAGGAGTTTGAGACCAGCCTGGCCAACATGGTGAAACCTCGTCTCTACTAAAAATACAAAAACAATTAGCCGGGTGTGGTGGTGCACGCCTGTAATCCCAGCTACTCGGGAGGCTGAGGCAGGCGAATCACTGGAACCCAGGAGGCGGAGGTTGCAGTGAGCTGAGATGGCACCACTGCACTCCAGCCTGGGCCACACAGCAAGACTCTGTTTCAAAAAAATAAAAATAAAATAGAAAAAGTAAACACCTTCTAAAGCGATTCAAGCCCTAGAAGGGTTCAAATGAAAATGAGACCAAAGGAAGTAAATAAAAAGGAGGAGGGGATTTGTGAGAACACATTTTAAATGGTCCATTTTCAAGGCATGGACCTTCTCAGCACTGGCAGCCAGTCTGCGGATTTAACAAACCGCAGGGCTCATGCTCCCAGCAAATCACAGTAAATGAACAGAATGTAGAGCGGGGGTCAGCCCATAAAAGGGAAAAAAGTTTCGTTACTGGGAAATTACAAGTTAAGCGGGGAAGGGGACGAGGTGTATAACCTTATAAGGGGGATAATGAAACTCAGGGGAAGTCTGGGAAGTTTGTAACGTCATAATACTGGACCAGTGAGGAAGTAGGGGAGGGACTTGCGTGCTAGGAGATAAATTGCCTGCTGTGACTGCCCCAGGTGTGCCTGCCTAGCAGACGCCCAATCTTGCAAGACCCTATTAAAAGGCTCACTTTCAGGCCGGGCGCGGTGGCTCACACCTGTAATCCCAGCACTCTGGGAGGTGAGGCAGGCAGATCACGAGGTCAGGAGATCGAGACCATCCTGGCTAACACGGTGAAACCCCTTCTCTACTAAAAAAATACAAAAAACTAGCCAGGCGAGGTGGCAGGCGCCTGTAGTCCCACCTACCTGGGAGGCTGAGGCAGGAGAATGGTGTAAACCCAGGAGGTGGAGCTTGCAGTGAGCTGAGATCCGGCCACTACACTCCAGCCTGGGCTACAGAGCAAGACTCTGTCTCAAAAAAAAAAAAAAAAAAAAAAAAGGCTCACTTTTGCTGTTGCCCGTGCCTCTGAGTGCATTCTTTGGGTTTTCAGGGGTGAGTGTGTTTCTCACACTGACTGTCCAACTCCACCCCGTCCTGGGCTGTGGGTCCTTCACGGCAGTGTCTGTTCCCCTGAGCCCCAGACCCTTCCCAGCCCCTTCCTGTTACTACTGAAACTGCAGGGCCCCCATCTGCACCCCAGGTGCACCCGCTCTTCCTCTCACTCACTGAGGTTTTCTTCCTGGATGTCAGCAGCTGGGCTGGACCTGGGGGAGGACAGAGGGTGTGGTTGGGGGGGAGTGTGGGAGTCTGGGGTCTTCGGGCAGAATTACCTCCTCTGAAGGCCTCTGTCTCTGGGCTCTGGCTCCACAGCCCCTGCAGGGTGTTGGAAATCAGCCTCTCTCTGGACTAGGTGAAGAAGGACAGAGTCTCAGCCCTGGGAACCTTAGAACCACGCACCCTGTACATGCGACTTTAGGGGAAAGAAGGAGACTTGAAAACACACTCATATATGTGTGTATATACACACACACACACACACATATATATATATTTGAGACAAGGTCTCGCTCTGCCGCCCAGGCTGCACTGTCAGCTTCTCAACCTCTGAGGTTTTCGGACTTGGATGGGCTTCCTTGCTCCTCAGCTTGCAGACGGTCTATTGTGACACCTCACCTTGTGATCGTGTGAATGAATCAATACTCCTTAATCAACTCCCCTTTATACATACACCTATCCCATTAGTTCTGCCCCTCTAGAGAACCCCGACTAATACATAATGTTTCTGAAATACGCAGCCCTAGAAGGAAATGAGAAATGAAACTTCCTGACACCGGCAGGGAACCTCAGGAAGCAGCGAGCTCAGAGCCGAGTGGCTGCTGGTGACTTGCAATGTCAGGGGGTCACTAAGGGGCACGTTTCTACTTCTGTATGAGACAGAGGAGAACCCCAGGGCCCTCACAGTCAGGGAGGGCTCGGGGTTTTGGGTGAAAGTGGGACGTTGTGGCTCCTCCTCCCCTGTGTTTGTGGATAGCACTGGGATATCTCTGCCCATTGACTGAGGTTCATGGTCAGCCCTGAGCTGCCTCCTCCATGTGTGTGTGAAACAGATTCACTGTAGACTTGTCAGACATGAGGTTCACACTGGACCCTCCCCTGCTGGTTACAGCCCTGAGCAGACTCTCGAGACCCAGGCAGGTGGTGCCTTCCTCCCCTTTTCAAGCCTAACTCCCAGTACAGCCCTGGTAGAAACCCTCTCTGACAGATGAGATGCTGGGAGGTGTGTGTCCAAGAATGAGAAGAAAGAGGAATCATCCTAATGATAACAAGTGCTATGATTGGCTGCCTGCCATGGCTCATGCCTATTTTCCCAGCACTCTGGGAGGCCGAGGTAGACAGATCGCTGGAGCCCAGGAGTTCGAGACCAGCTGGGCAACATGGTGAAACTCCATGCATACTAAAAAGACAAAAAATAACTGGGTGTGGTGGTGCATACCTGTAGTTCCAGGTACTCCCACGATGGGAAGGCCTGCTTAGGCTCCCAGGGGGACAAATCTCTTACAGGGAACTCTCTTTCAGGGCTGAGTCGGGGCCCCAGGACCTGCATGCAGGCAGGTGACTCTGTCCCCAGCTGGGATTACAGACATCCGCCACCACACCCAACTAATTTTTGTATTAGTGGTAGAGACGGGGTTTCACCATGTTGGTCAGGCTGGTCTTGAACTCCTGACCTCAGGAGATCCTCCCGTCTTGGCCTCCCAAACTGTTGGGATTATAAGCATGAACCACCATGCCCAGCCCTTTTGCTCATGTCCTAATTGGATTTTTTCTTTTTCTTTTAACTTTTGTTTCAAGTTCAAGGATACATGTGCAGGTTT